AGCTAAGAGGAAGCTGCAGGCACGATTGGCCGAAGCGGAGGAAACCATCGAATCCCTCAACCAAAAGGTTATCGCTCTCGAGAAGACGAAACAGAGATTGTCGACGGAGGTAGAGGACTTACAGATCGAAGTGGATCGCGCGACCGCGATCGCCAACGCCGCCGAAAAGAAACAGAAGGCCTTCGATAAGATTATCGGCGAATGGAAACTCAAAGTGGACGATCTCGCCGCCGAACTCGATGCCAGTCAGAAGGAATGCCGCAATTACAGCACGGAATTGTTCAGGCTCAGAGGTACTCATCTACTTTTTTCCATTTTCAAATTGCTTAAGGATTCTTGTGTAGAGGTTTATGTGTAGAGAGCGGTCGGTCGGTGAGGTTTAATGGACGAGATTGCTCGTTGTTGAAACCGTCGAATATATTTAAAATGATAAATAAGTTAACAGGCTATATTCGCTAAGTCGCTCGTACAGTTTATAAATCACGAAAGAAGATTGTTGATTGATATTTGATACGTGCTCGCTAGATACGCGTCGATAACTCGCGTCGATAACTCGCGTTGATAACTCGCATCGATAACTCGCGTTGATAACTCGCATCGATAACTCGCGCCGATAACTCGCGCCGATAACTCGCGCCGATAACTCGCATCGATAACTCGTCGACACTGACTGGCACGCGAACACGTCTGTTTATTTATACTGGTCAGAGGAGAGTCGAAAAATTCAACCTCAATTTTCAATGCAATTTGACGGTTACATGTAGCGGCGACATTGTTTTGCCCGGAGTTTATTTGTCGTTATGTTTTAACAACATAAGTCGCTCTCGATTCGTGTCGTCCTTTGACTCATGCTTACTTGCTTACACATTTTTTCTATATCAATATATCCGTATAGGTGCGTACGAAGAAGGTCAGGAACAGTTGGAAGCAGTGCGTCGCGAGAACAAGAATCTAGCCGACGAAGTAAAAGACCTCTTGGATCAAATTGGCGAAGGTGGACGCAATATTCACGAGATCGAAAAAGCCAGGAAGCGCCTGGAGGCTGAAAAGGATGAACTTCAAGCTGCTCTGGAAGAAGCAGAGGCCGCTTTGGAACAAGAAGAGAACAAAGTATTGCGCAGTCAACTTGAACTGAGTCAAGTCAGACAAGAAATCGACCGACGTATCCAGGAGAAGGAAGAAGAATTCGAAAATACCAGAAAGAATCACCAACGTGCTCTCGATTCTATGCAGGCATCGCTCGAAGCTGAAGCTAAGGTTCGTAAAAAGTCGGATAAATCTCTTTGAAACGGTTATTAGATTAAAACGGTAGGAGTAAAATCTTATAATATGTCGTGAAGATTCCTCGAGGCAAACATGATACATATTTGACGAAACTTTTCAGGGCAAGGCCGAGGCTTTGCGCATGAAGAAAAAACTGGAAGCAGATATAAACGAATTGGAGATCGCCCTGGATCATGCGAACAAAGCGAATGCCGAAGCTCAAAAGAACATCAAGAGATATCAACAGCAACTGAAGGATGTCCAGACCGCGCTCGAGGAAGAACAACGAGCTCGCGACGAAGCGAGAGAACTTCTTGGAATTTCGGAACGCCGGGCGAACGCGCTTCAGAACGAACTCGAAGAAAGCCGTACTCTTCTCGAACAAGCGGACCGCGGACGTCGCCAGGCTGAACAAGAATTGGCCGACTGCCACGAGCAACTCAACGAACTAGGTGCTCAGAACGCTTCCATCTCTGCTGCCAAGAGAAAACTCGAGGCTGAGCTGCAAACCCTTCACGTGAGCATTCTTATCCTTCTATTCGATTCTAATTTTTCACATTTACATTTATTTTATAAAAGCTCCAACAAAACATTCGAAAAAGACGACAAATCCGAATGAGACTCGTATTTATTTTGTTTTCAGTCTGACTTGGACGAATTGTTGAACGAAGCAAAGAACTCTGAGGAGAAAGCAAAGAAAGCCATGGTTGATGCCGCTAGATTAGCCGACGAACTTCGAGCCGAACAAGATCATGCTCAAACGCAAGAGAAGCTTCGCAAAGCACTCGAAACTCAGATCAAGGAACTCCAGGTGCGTCTCGACGAAGCTGAAGCGAATGCCCTGAAAGGTGGTAAGAAGGCAATTCAAAAACTTGAACAACGTGTTCGTGAATTGGAGAACGAACTCGATGGAGAACAGAGGAGACACGCTGACGCTCAGAAGAATCTTCGCAAGTCCGAACGTCGCATCAAGGAACTCAGCTTCCAGGTACGAGTTCGTACGATATATACATATCGTATAAAATATAATGTATAATAATAATAATTGCGTTATCGAGATTTTCAGCGATAGCTTATTCCAAATCTATAAATGTTTAGGCTGATGAGGACCGCAAGAACCATGAGCGCATGCAAGACCTTGTCGATAAGCTTCAACAGAAGATCAAGACCTACAAGAGGCAGATCGAGGAAGCTGAAGAAATCGCTGCTTTGAATCTCGCGAAATTCCGCAAAGCGCAACAAGAGCTCGAGGAGGCAGAGGAAAGGGCGGACCTGGCTGAACAGGCAATTACCAAGTTCCGTACTAAAGGACGCGGAGGAAGTGCTGCGCGCGGACTGAGCCCAGCGGTAAGCAAATATTCAATTACTACCGTTTCTTTTATTCTCTTCGTTCAATTTCCTACATTTTCTTTTCGTATCGTATTTAAAAATGATACTTTTCTTCCTTTTTTTTTCTTTTTACATTTCTTTTGTAATAATATAAGGTTTAATATAACTTGATTATATAATATTGGAAGAAATATTCGATTAAAAATTTTCCGAGAAATTCCATGATACGTGTGCTATGAAAAATGGAGATTTACGTTATCAGCGACGTAGATGAAGAAAAGAGAAATTTTCGTAGAATAGCAGTAGGATCTCTCTTCCGTAGCTCGTGTAGCAATCTCTTATTAAAATATATCGAGCTACGTGTATATTCCGCAGGATATGTGAAAATCTCGATTTTATAAAAATCAATACGGCATAGTAAATGGCACAGGATTTCCAAGTTGGCGATCGAGAACGAAATTTCCTATAAAACGAGAAGAAAAAGTCGTAGAAAGAAAAGAGAATAACTATTGCGTACAAAGAAAAGTAGAGATTGCGGCAATTATCTCTAATTGTAAATCTGTATGTCCCTGTATAGCCCCAACAGAAGGCCCGTAAGGCGCCCTCCGCAATGGAGTAAAGAGTACCGCGCCGGTCCATGTAAGTTTGTGCACGTGTCATAAGCACGTGTGTGTGTCGACACATGGAAAAGCACAGTAATCGCAAGAAAGCAATTATACATAGACAGAACTGTTCCGAATCCCCAATCCGCCGATCGTCAATGTCTTATTTTCTTGAACCTGTGTGAAAAGCTGATAACACTTGACGGGGGCATACCTTACGAGTATGAAGCTTGCTCCTAGTCATTGATTAACGTTGTGTATTACCTATCCCAAACAAATTCATGATAGTTCACGAACGGATCACTGTACCGATCCCTCTGTTATAATATAGAATATAGACGAATCGTTGCTTGGTTAGTGACTGGTTAATTACATGTGAATAGATTTGTTTACGTATATTTTTCGTTAGACATTAGACGGATGAAAGACGCGACGCGATGTAAAGACATAACTCCATCGATCGTTTTTCGTTGTTAATTCCGATTTTCGATATAATTATTGTTAGATACTTAGATTAGTTCTTGTAATTAGTCGATGTATCATCCACTTTATGATTCTTTTCACGAAACTAAGCAGACAAAATCATTCCAACTGTCTAAGAGAGGTATTACGACCCTCGATTCATATCCCATTGTTGTCTTTCAATTGCCAATACCAATGATGTGCGATAAACACGCAGAATGAATGAGAAGGACACAAAGAACGTGTCTAAATATCTATCTCCAAAAAATGTTTTCTTTTTTTGAATGCATACAGCGATACTAGATCCTGGTGAAGGATGGGATTAGGGATGGAATTAAAGACATATGGTATACATTTATAAACTGGCATTGCGATATCGTAGCGTTAGAAACGATATAATATCAAATTGACAAGAAACAAATTATTCTCTACCTTTGAATAAAAGACAGAAATCGTGAGTCTGCAATTCGGAAAATTTCATATCGTTTAAAACGTATTCGGTTTTGTTACTGCTATACCAAAGATACGCCAAATAAAAATAAAAACTTCGAACTTGATCCCATCGCTAAAAGCCGGAAAACACTTTCCCGGAAACAACTTGTGTTGTTCGAAAGCATCTCGACCAGAAACGTATCGCGTGAGAATTTTGTTGTTATTCGCGAGAACAGAAATAAACATGCTTTCGAACAAATTCGCTGATCTATGATTAACAGCGATCACGGAAGTACCGAATGAAAATAATAATACTTCTTTTGGAATTTTTCAGCCACACCGACCTGCGTTCAAACCCCAATTGGATGGTTCCGCATTCCCGCCACGCTTCGACCTGCAGCCCGATGGTGAACTGTAAAAATCTATACGACAACGATATACTTGTTACAAACACGATCGTAACAGCTTAACGTATGAATTGATCGCAACCGGCGAACTTTCATCGTGTCATCTCACTCAAATAACTCATCCCATCGTCTTCATACCTACGCACATACACCTTCATACAAAAAGTAAAGAAAGTATCCTCAGATCTTTACTACTTTCGTGTTGACACGAGAATGTCCGTGCTTGGTCTCATCTTGCCAGCTTCGAGATAAAAATAGAAAAGGGAAGATTACAAAAGATTGGAAATTTTTCTTTCGACATTCTAGTTCTAATTCTAGTATATTTGATTGTTAATTGGCAGAAGAAATCGGCAATACAATAGACGTGGAGGAGAGATTAACCTTCACCACTCGCGCTGACGGTCGAGGAAAGAGAGAGTGAAAGAGTGAAAGTGGAAGAGTAAGAGAGAAAACGAGAGAAAGGAAAGGTGCGAGCGAGCGGTTGAAATGAAAAACGAGAGCCAGCTCGAAATTTTAAACGTTGTATTATGAACACGTGGCAGAAAAGAAAAGTATGTGCAATACTGGCATACGCGCGTATCAAGCGGACGAATCGATAAATAGATACGATATACACATTACAGAAACGGAACGATAAAAAAAAGAACAAGATTACATGTTATAAAAAAATAAACAATGAATAAAAATATAACGCTAGTCACGGATTTGAACGTCAGCGCGCATTATTATATACGTCATCGAAATGATAACCCTATCCTATAAAGTTAATTGTAATTTATAAAGAGAGCCGAAGTATGTATTTATTAAAATAAATAAGCAATAAATAAAATTAAGAACCAATCGCAATATTTGTCATTTCATATACTCCAGCCTTCTAATCGTTTATAATTTTTAGAATTTTTAGAATTTTTTAATTATCGCCTCATAATTCGTTTCTTGCCATATCGTCTGCGATGCAGCAAATACTAACAACTTTCTTTTATTTTATACCGTTGATTTTCATTCGCTTTCAGGTACATATATACCTATCTATAATTTTTCATTCATTTCCTTTATATTCGTCATAAAAATCCACATACACCCCTTATATGCGTATAAAATATCATAGTAAAAACATTAGCTCTACGAATCCTTTTGGCACATTAAGACACACGTTGTCAGAATGTAACACAACTTATTCACTTTCACCCTTAGTAGGAGGAAAAAAGTAAAAGTGTATAAAATACAATGTGTTACAAAAATTGCATGCACCTGTTATACCTATATGAAATCATAAAAATAACGTGCTTAATAATTATAATAATATTTTCTGGGGCACCTACGTGAACATCAACAATTCCTTGACGTCGAAAAAATGTAAGGTTCTGTCATTTCTGATGCAACTCTATCCCAAGATTTTTGTTAGTCAGATATTTTGAGTTTTTAATTCCTTTTAGGAAAACATTAATGACAATTGTATCGCTATGTAGGTATAAATGATATTGTGACAAAGTGCATTTTCAATTTCTTTGGTTAGCCAGGTGTTTGTAGACCTTCGCGACTAACCGTATATATAAGAATTAAAATGTAGAAAGCTTCGTCATGTTATATTTGAAAGGATGAAAAGGTAGGAGTTACGAAACAGTTTCAACGTTAAAATTATTAAAAATTACGAGAACAACATAGCGCAAGACGACTCGAATCAAACTCAACTTCTTTATGCATTGTTTGTGTTCTATCAAAAATGTATTTCCAAAATCACGTATTTGTTATACGAATTCACTGATTGCTAATAATATATGTGATTAGTGCTTACTTCTTAAGTTAAGTGGACGCTGACCCTCTCAAGAAACAAATTACTTTTAATCGTCGCTTTAATCATAGCCTATCCGTTATTCTATCTAATATTCTTTTTCCGTTCTTTACGTAGGATTTGTTTAAATTGTCCCTTTACAAGCTCCCATTGGGTAAACTTCTTAGTACTAACTCCAAATTCCTTGCAAGTTTGTTGAAAAGCTTCTTCACAAAGTGGCAAGTAACAGTGATCCACTGTTGGCAGAAGATGATGAAGACCGTGTAATCCGAAGTTAGTCAACACCAGAAAGTCAGAGTCATCGATCACTGTTCGCTCTCTTACGGCATCCAATTCTAGCAAACCCCAGTCGAAATCGTTTCTAGAAAATATTATTCGTCTCTATTATTAACTGTTTCAATTGAGAATATTTTTTTTATACGTTCACATTTCTTTCGATTAGAAACTATAATTTTGAATGAACCTGTTAACGATAAATATGCATACATATACATACATATAAATAGAATTATTGTGTTGATAAATTTTCAAGATCTATAAGTTGCATTGAATTGATATATACCTCCCATCTTTCTTTAAAAATCTCTAAGAATTTAATCTTGACGAGTAATTTCAAATACAACTTGCGCAACTTATATGTAGTACGATTAAAATATAAAATATATAAGAATATATGATATAAGAAGATCGATAGAAATAATAGAATGTATATAGCACGTATTACCGATACGTATACAAACGAACCTGTATATATCGCCATCATGAAAGATATCGGGATGATGATGAGCTGCATTGAAACCGATCATAAAAAATATAAAACTGCCTGTTAATATAATTAATAACCAAAGTTTCACAGCTACAAAAATACTTGGCGCGAGAAAGGACATCGATATGGGCAAAAAGAGAGGTACAGCATCTCGAAATTCGAATTTTCTATATTCGAAGAACACAGAGTAATATCTGAAACGAATACGTATTTATTAATTTTTACTTTTCGCATTTAAAGTAACAATATTTCATTTATAACACCATAATCCGACCACTTGAAAAAAAAAACAAAAATACAAGGTGAATTGGTGCAGATGGCAAAGACGGAAGATGTAATGGGAGGATGGTGAAGGGTTTACCAGAAGTTAAGAGTTGATGGAGAGTGTAGTAAGATGACAAGAGAGGGGGGAAGGAAGAAGCGAGAAAGGACATTTTTAAAAAGATCTCGCGGAACAACAAGCAAAGAGAGACGGGAGAAGAAAGAAGAGGGAAGTATAGTGTTTTGGGATATATCAGGTTTATTAGGAAAGAAAAGGATTTCTGTGAGTATATAGAAAGGCAAAACGACGTAGATTTAATAGGAACGTGGATAGATGATAAATAATAATAATAAATGGGAGAAGATCACATACGGACTACCTAAAGGCTTTATATGGTATTACCATTTTACGAAAAGGAAATGGGAGAAGGAAAGACTTATAACAGAAATAACAACTGGAGTAACAGAGAAATGGGAAAGAGAAGTAGTGAGAAGACAGTTAAAAATAAATGAAGTGAATTGGAACATATGGACGGTGTACCAAAGAGGGAGTATGTCCGAGTTGGAAAGAAAGGTGCAAAAAATCATACAGCAGAAGAAGAGAGTATTGATGTGTTGATGGAGATATCTAATTGCAAAATTTAGATGTGGGAACGAGCTGAAGGTAATAAGAAAGTTCATGGAGGAGGATAATAAGAAGGAAAGGAAGGAATAAAAAAAGAAGTGAGAAAGATAACCAAAAAAGAGATTTTTGCTGTTGATAATAATTAAATTGGGTACTGATTGTAGAAGTAACGGAAGGTCATCTTCAAACCGCTAGCAGCTACTAGCAAAAGAGTTTCGAATAATAAATACTATATGATATATTGCATCTATTTATGAAATATTTAGCCACGGAATAAACAATTTAATATTAAGAAATATTATCTGTGCGTAATATGCACCGTTGGATTTTGATAAATCTTTAACCCTGATATAAAAAAATAATAACGAACCTTTTGATTGCTTGTGTGTAAAGAGCTAAAGCCCAAATGATAGGACTTATCAGTTGACTGATGATACCTTTCAGTAATGATTTTTTAGGATCTGGTAACCAAAACAGATAAGGCTCAATCGAGTATATTTCAAAGTCCCAAAGGGTATTAGGGTACATGTGGTGACTCATTGCATGTGTTATTCGCCAATCCTTCGACGACATTGTGCTTAAATCAAAGTAGTACATTCGAAAACTATTCCTCATATGAAAATAATTATGACCAATAACCGTGGTCCACCCGAGAGAAATTCCTGAAATCATAAGTATGTATTTCAATTATAGCATTTTGCATCCAAAATAAGAAAAAAAGAAAATATCTATAGTAGTAGTTAAAGACTAAAGATGTAATTAAAATATTTGACCAACCAGCAAGCATGATGATTAAATAAGATTGCGTATAAGCTACTGCGAGGCTAAGTAAAACGGTAGTACTGACAAAAAAATCAGCGAATAAATTTGTTTTTGTCGACGACCGATGAAAATCCACGTCTTTTAGGGCTTCTAGTGCACGCTTTTTGAAAATAGAAAAGAAACCATTCGGTTCAAACGTTAATGGCAGCTTTCGTGGTGAAACTGCCTCTCTTACCAAGTATTTTGGAAGCAGTTTCGCAGCTTTATCAGTTAGATGATGCGACTGAAAAATACAAATTACATCTATTTAAAATATCGTTTAAAATAACCTGTTGAACTAAATTATGTGACTTATAACAAGAATATATAACCAGAAGAAGAAACTATTGTACCAATTATTGTACTGCACGGAAACGAATTACCTCGAAAAGTTCGGTAATATCAGTACCCTTGGTCAGGCGAATCCATTCTGCTCCGCCTGGGTGAAATTTTGCAAAACCTTCTAAATCATATAAATTATTTCGAATCCTCCATAAACCTTCCGCAGCGTCTACTTGTCTTCTTGCTTCGAGAAAAGAGTATGCTGTTTGAAATTTAGCATCTCTTCCAGGAAAATTTTCGAAACCCGGTATCGAACTTTCTAATTTCCGCATTGCTTTCTTCTTCTTTTTTTATTGATCTGTACGGTAAGTAAAATAATTAAATAAAAATTGTAAGTAAGTAGGTAACATTACTTAACATCAAGTAATAACTATAACAATTGCTTAATCATGGTTCAGGATATAAATCTAAATAAAGAATATAAGGAATCTTATTAAAACGTGTTATTTATTTCGTTATGAACATTTTAATTTATCCTGCTCCCATTAAATTTATCGAGTTATTGTTTAAAATTCCCATTTACAATCATATCTTAAACTCTGCATTCTGAAAATATCTAAAAGAAGTTAGTAACATTAAATTACGAGTTTTATTTAAAAATACATTATTCAAATGTTAAGATTATGATACAAAGTGATATAGTAATTGCAAAACAAATTTTTTAGTGTTTCAAAATATTGATAAGTGAATGAAATAATTTCCAAGACAGATTGCATAAATGAAACTGCATGTTTTTGTAAATACTGTATGTACGTAGTTGTTTTTGCGGATTTAGTGATATGTTAAAAAATGGGTTAAAATTAGAGGATAATAGGATAGGGTTAGAGGACAATAATTATCGAAGTACTTATGCCTTCTTAAACTAAATGTTAACATACCTTACAGTTAGTTAAATTTTACACATAATTGATTAAAGCTGGGTGAAGTATTTAAGAAATAGTAATGTATCATTCGTTATATAACATTCTATTTCAGATATGTGTTTCGCAATTAATATTACCATTCATATAGGCGACACTTGTCTTAAATTAAAAAATTGACTATCTTATGTTCGTTTCTAATACTAGCAAATAAATATATCATTAAAGTTTAAAAAAGGGGAAATAGAGGTGTGCGGGTAAATCTGTAAAATAGTGTATCGTTACCAGGGACGGATTTACCATTACGCTAATGAGACTAAAAGCGTTGGGCCCCGAAACAATATGCCTATCAAAAAGAATAATAAACAAATATCAGAATTACATAAAATACATTTGTTGGTATGGGAAGACTGGGATAAAAGTGTTAGCTTGGCTAAAACGATGTTTGCTGAATCAATACGTACAGTCGTCCGAATACTCGAGTACTTGATAGGCCTATTTTATAGTGTTTTAGAACATTCTTACGTTTTCTAGGATGCGTGAAAAGTAATTAAATCCTCCGACAAGACTCGTTGACCATGGGAATTTTGAATGCAGTTTTAGACTGGCCATGATATCGTGCGGATTTTAATTACTGCACATGATGTTAATATTCACCGTCTAAGGGAATATTAACTTATAGCTATATATTAACTAATATTGACTCTGACAGATTAACCAAAGAATCTCTAAATGTAAGTCATAATTTCCTATTGGTTTAACGATTTAGCTTTGATTTAGCCAGGTTGAACTTTTATAAATTCAGTTTAGCTCAGGGTCCCCAAAATGATTATTAGCTTCAGGCTTCCAAAGGATTAAATCCGCCACTGATCGTTACTTTACTATTCACTTGATTATTTGAATCATTTATTAAAATATCTCAATTGTAATGACGTCTAATGACTAATTTTTAAAATCACATTTGCTTGATTTCTATGTGACTTATCAAATGTCAACACATTCGAATACTATTGTCGCAATGAATTAAAATACTGAATAAGGAAGTGCAATAATATACCACGTATATGATATTATATTTTACATGATTTTATATTGATTTTATATTTTTACAAACAGAAATTATTTTTATATTATTGTTCATGAATAAATTAATTGCTAAATCATTATCAAGCAAGATAAATTGAATGGATGAAAGTTAAATTTAGAATATAAACTGAAATGGATTCCCCGTTTTTCATATTTGATTAAAAATAGTGTTATTTTGCGATAACGTGAGTATATTATGTATTATGCACGTGTGTATTGTACACATTCTGTTCCGCAACTTTAAGTTTCTAATAAGTTAACTTTACTATGTCTATTAATTATTATAAATATTTCTAGTTACACATTACTATACGAAAAAAAATGTTTATCATATTTTCTAATAATTTTTTCATACCAATCGTTATATACCAAAATGTTAATCGTGTATAGAGATTTCTTGTAGAACTTTCTAATATGGTAGATTGTGATTGAATCTTCTAATTTATTTCCAAATAACTTGATGCTGTTTAATAGTTATTGACAAACAACGATATTTATTTCATCACATTACGAAGACGTAACTCACTACACGAAAAGATACTTTGTTTTTACTGTAACACTAATTAAAACTGAACCTGATTACGTTGTTCAACGGACTGCTTTTAATGGAACAATATGGAAAGTACTCTTCCTTCTTATATATGTCAAACCAACATATATTGAGTAGAACCTGAACGACCTAGTACTTTGACCCTGCAACGATAGTCAATCCAACAGACGATAACTCTATGACGCGTTGCTACTCATTGCAGAATATCTGACACTATACACATTAAAATAAGTATGTGTATATTACTTTTTATTTAAAAATTTGACCGGTATTGTTACAATTTTTATAACTATTAAGTCTTTTAACATGAAGTCAAGTGTTTCTTCAAGTTATGAGAAAATTTTGCTTTTTTATAAGCGACGAATTATAAGCGACAAAAATGTGTTTTGCCAGTTATATACAGGATTTACCAGATTTTTGCACAAAACATTCCCATCATATTTCAGAAGTGAAATTAAAAAACAACATGTTATATAAATATAGGCTTTGAACTGCTTTATTGTAGATTAAATTTATTCATATATTAAAAAGTTTGTTAAAACGACACAAAATAAAGGACTGCTGTTTCGTCGACCCAGTATGTCGCCCATATTTATTTGATATGCTTACACAGGCTTTGGTGTTTATTTGCCGAGGTCATTGATTTGATCAAAACAGTGCGGCAATCCGTTACCCTCGAAGATGGATAGGTCGAGAAGGATCAATTCCCTGGTTCCCAAGTTCACCAGATATCACTTGAACAGATTTTTACTTACGATTAACCGTAAAAGAAAAAGTTTGCCAAACACAAATTAATACGCGTCGGCAGTTAATGCAGATAATTCATATCGTATTTGCAGCAGTTAAGAGAATGAATAAGAAATTAATAATGCAGTAGATTCTATTTTCCGTAGTCTTCGTATTCGCACTACATTGTGAAACGGAATTATAACGTCAATGGATATTATACGTTTTATTCCTACGTGATATCGAACAAAAAATCAGTTCGTTGTTATTTCGTATTTTTGTTATAACTTTTTAACAAAGTATATAAGAGCTTACATCTATATAACATTGTTTCTTATGTTTGCTTATTTAGTCTTGTAAAGAACTAGGACACCCTGTATCTATTTCTATGTAAAAATATTGCTGGTGATATATACATATGTACATATTATGTATTTAGACATTTTCACCGCTTTCGGAGTAACGGAATATTAATTTTATCAAACTATAGTATAAAGTAATGACAAATTAATAATTTGTTATTAGTAATTAGTCTTCTCGCGCAATCAACCGATTGTAATTTTAAATCATCAATTATCATTACCGTTGGAAAGTCGTTTAATATCGAAAATTTTCCTATCAGTTTAAGAAAATCTTCCTTATCTGACTCATAGAAACTAGAAGATGAAGATATAAGAACCTTTCGTTTATACCGTAATTTTATAATTAAATAACATGAAGTATACGCTATTAAAAATAAATGATTATATACTTTGCAGTTGCATGTTACAAAATGAGCGATATCTTCCAATAAAAACGAGATTAAATAGAAGCTTAAAGTCAAAGTTACTAGTATACCACACAGATTTGTTGAACTAGGATTGGTTTTTAACCAGTCGGAATTTTTCTATAATCAACTAATGAAGTAGTAAATTATACATATGTTTACTTGACATGTGATAGTTTACGAACACAAAAAACAATATTATCTACACTGAACTGATAATCGTAAGTTTATCCAAAACTCTCATTGTGTTCCGCCACAACCAGATTTTTCCATTCAATTAATCGGTATTGAAATGGTGATAGTAATCCTGTCCTGTGGAACTTATTAGTAAGAAAAATTTATTGATGTCAACATTGTAGCAATTTAAAATTCACATGGAATGTATTTAATAGAATACATAAACGATTTATAACGGATTTATAAGCGACGGAAATACGTATCGTAACAATTTTGTCAATGTAAATCATCCTATTGTATTTACAATGATAAAATATAATTACTATTATATAATTTTTCGCTTTATATTAGAATGTGAGGAATGAACAACAAATATAAAAAGGAAGAAATTATCTAAAATGTTTAAACGTGTTGCCTTCGTGTTTCTATTATATAAATAATAAGAAAAAATAAAAGAAATATTTACGTTTCATTTTTTACTTCCTTTTACTTATTTACCACTTACTTGCGAGTGGTACTCGGTGTACATTAGATTTAGGAATGTTTTCTCATTTTTATCTCCCTTCTCATATGATATTCCTAAGAAGAATGGAGTGTTTATAACAGAACTTCGTTTACTTGAACTTGTCGAGGGATAAACAAGTTATATAATTGGAGTTCATATAATAAGAGCTCACCAGTTATGTATTATTTTCTGTTCATATAATAGGAGTTCACGTTCAGATAAATGAATTCAATCAGCAAAAGTTCAGTTAATCGGGCACTAATTAAAATTTCGTTCAGATAAGTGGACTTGATATAAATTGAGTTCTACTGTAAATTAAATATATCATATCGTGCATAGTTTAATAAATAATGAGAAGATTATACGATGAACTTCATTATTGAAGATATAGGGTATAATTGTAAATCGTAGTTTAATTCACATGAACTACATTTTATTTACACTAGCAATAACAGTAAATTCATTGTATCTATATTTGTATTTGCATTTATGTTTATATTTATAATAATTATATATATATTTATTTATTACATTTATAATAATTCTTTCTTTTTACATTAAATATAGCGATATATTTAAATTACTGGCAATTGTAACTCTTTCCTCTCTTACAAAATTAAGTCACAAATTGCAGCCATTATTAATGCCTGTATCATTTCATTAATATCAAATAAGTCTTCGAATTCTAATTATTTACGTTTTAGATGCCAATTACCAATTAGATTTTCTTAATTCTATAATAATTCAGACTTTCTTAAAATTTTCTATTTTTATGAGCATAAACATTATTAAATATCGAATTTTACAAAATATATATCCGAATCTTTTCAACTGCGCATAACAGATTGTATAGAACGAAGCACATAAACGCTTTTCGAACGTTTGTTAGCTCCATTTATAACAAATTTCTACATGAACTTTTGACGATATAGTTTAGTAACTCCATAAAATAGCAGCTGTTCGCATTACATTTTTTTGTTTCCGGTAGTTGTAAAATATGGTATAGTAATGCTCCATCCATGAGTTTTCTTATTATTTCTGAGAACATAGATAATATAACTAATAATACTATATGATCAGTCGTGTATTTTATAAACTTCATTTTTTAAGTACTACAATCAAGACCTCCAAAAATATTTATATGCAATTCAAATATAATAAGGAAAAACTTGTATGTTGTAGATAAGTTATTTAAGTAATAATAGGAAATATCAGTATTTCCATATTCAAGATGATGCGTAAATTATAAATAAAATAGCTGTTTCCGCAAGAACGCATACGAAACGTTACATTAAGGTACATATATTATACAAGAAACTCAATCATATACGACATTTGCAGAAATCGATTATATCATAATACACAGAAAACCAAGCATAACATTCATTTATTTATTACTTAACCCGTTACCTAAGCATCTCGTTTCAATCTCTTCCTGTTCGTATATAAGCATCGATATTCTTCGAAATTCGAATTCTCGATATTTCGAGAAATGATCCATAAATTGTTACAGTTATTAAAAATGATGCAATTATATTCTCAGATAAATATTCTCACAAAAATTGTTATAGCGATAATCAGTATAGAAATCAATTCAGAATTGTGAACGTAACCGGAATTCTCGGCCATTTTTGGATGTTTAGGATAAACGGTATGCACTTTTGTCGTAGAATCGTGCGGATTGTTTGTAGTTGAAGTTGGATTCATCGAGCAAACAGTTCCTTTTATAGCCTCTTTAACCGAACCCATAACGATTCTAAAATTATAATCTTCAGGGTCCAGGCGAGAGTACATAAAAGTAGGCAAACGATCCGAGAGTATCCAAATATTCCCGTTTCGATCAATCTAAAATTAACAGGAAGTAAATTAAAAATCGGTATTTAAATGGGTTAGCTTATGATTCAGTACCGAAAAAGATAAAGCGAATATAGTAGAATTTGATGTGTTTGAAATGATAGGGACACGTGATTATTTGAATAAGAAAGTTTTTGGATAGTGGAACGCTCTCTATCTTAAGCTATTTATAAGTATTTTTTTAATACTAAATAAAAATAAATATCAGTCTCAATACATTTTTCTTTTTTCTCAGAACGCAGGTTAAGATTACATAAAATATATACGTAATAATTTTGCGTAATATTATTAATAAAAAATATAGTATAATTTAAAAAAGATGAAAAGGATAACAAAAATATAATGGGCTAAATCACTTTGTTCTAAAGTTTTGTTTTAAACCTATTCAAAGATAGAGCTGATCTTTAAACACGAGTCTAATTATATATATAAATTTAAATTATATATATAAATTTATATATATATAAATTTATTTATTAATTTTTTAAACAAATTTCAAGCTCAGCTGCGTGCTTACTCGTATATTCAGTCTATTCAACTTGTGTCGCTATAAGAATAATTCATATCAACATTTAATTTACTCGGCGAGTAAAAGAATCAGGAAAAAGCAAGAGAATAAACATTCGTAGATAAGTCATAAATTGCAGTATCGCAGTTACGTTTTTGAGAAGTTGACGTTTCTAACACGTGTGTAGCTCAAAGTTAATTGTACATACATACATATATGTATACATATATATAAATTTCCATTCTCGATCTGGAAAGTAATTACCTTTAAATCGTTGGGAAAAACCATTGTGACGTTATCTACATAAATAAGACCTTGTTGCTCGATTGTGAACGTATTTTGAGGTTTCCAGCACGCAATAGCATTCAAAACAGCTAATGCATAAAACAGAACTCCGGTGTCTGGATCTAAAAAGCTCACGCTACTTTGACCATTATGTCCGCGAGATCCTAGAGCATGAAATTCGTGGAAGTTGTCTGAAACCCATAGAAATCGAATTATAATTAACATCGTGGAAATAACGTGAAACTGTAG